CTATGGCGGTGAGGGCAGCGGTTATGGTGGCTACCACGACGAGGCTAATGACACGGAGCACTAGGAACAGTGCTTGGACAAAGTAGGGGGGCACTCATTTGGTATGTACACCTTCATTTTCTACCATGATAACTTGCATTATTTTCTTTTAAAAATAAAAAAACAAAAAAACAAAAAAAAAGAAAAACAAGAAGAGAATGCTAGTTAGATTGAAAACCCAAACACGGGCCATCTAAGCAAAAAAGGGCTTCAAAAAAATGAGTGAGCGGTAAGGATGGTAAAATAAAAGAGAGATGCTAGGATGAAAACCTGAAAAGGCTCCTAGACAAAATGAGAGATATGAGAGAAATATGTATTTTTTTTTTTGCAGAATATCATCTCTTGGAGAAAGAAGAAGAAAAAGGAGGAGGAGAAGGAAAAACAAAGAACATAGAAGACCAAAAAACCCAAGAAAATGTTGTTTTGTAACTCATTCGCAATCCTTGGTGGTCTTGTGTTCTTTCTTGCTATTCTTGAGCTTATGATCTTTTGTTAACACTTGTACAAACATTTGGCTTTACTCGAGGACGATTAAAGAAACTAAGTGTGGGGGAGTTGACATTCATGTAATTTCCATGTTTATTTTTGTATTTTTAATTAGTTTTGATTGACTTTTACTTTGGAAATTACACACTTTTGGTGTAATAGTTTAGTTTGTAAAATAGTTGTAATTTGTTTAGATTAGGGACTTTCTGAGCTTAAACTAGGTAGAGATCGTCAAAAGGATCCTGGAAGGTTCAAGAAAAGTGCAAGGGAACAACAAAAAGTGAAAATTTGGGAAAATAGTCAAAAACCCGACCGGGTTTTCCAAAAACCCGATCAGGTTTGACTTGACCCGAAGATCAAATTTGATTTGGAGGCAATTTAACATGCAGAGCGAAGATTTGGCAAAGATTTGTCTTTTACCCGATCGGGTAAATCAAAAACCCGATCGGGTAGATGTGACTAATGAACATTCCGGGCAATTACTCAAGAAACCCGATCGGGTTTCTCAAAAACCCGGTCGGGTAAATGACCCTGCTACCTCCAAACACCTATAAATACACCTCTTTTCCTTCCCCTTTGATATCCAATTCCTTTGTACATCTAAGCTCAGTATAGAATAGTTCTTTCTTTATATTTTTCATCATGTTTAGTCTTCAAATGAGGAGCTAAACTCTTCCATCTTGGTTTTGCTACTTTGAAGCTTAATGAATTTGTAAGTTGTGAGTTATTTTCTTTAATTTTCTTCCTTGAATATTAATTCTTTCTTTTAAAATACTATCTCTATATCAAAGTTGGGGAGTGTTACTAAGATGACAATTAGTTAACATCTTGACATTGGTTATAGTAATAGCTATTTCTTCCTCTATGTTAATATTGAGGAGTGTTACTAAGATGACAATTAGCTAACATCTTGATATTAACCATAGTAGGATTCATATTCTTTAATATTATTCCTTGAGTATTAATTAATTCCTATTCATATTTCATGTTAATATCTTAAACATTACTTAAAGTATCAACTAGTATTGTTTCTCATATTAATTATTACTAGAATCAATCGGTTAATACGCTTGTTATTAATCCGGTTCTTTCAACGGTAGTAAACTTGGAATATTAATGCATGCATTTCATGGTTAATATGCCAAGGGGAATTAATTATATTGATTAAACCAATAAACCGCTTGTGTTGAGGTTATCAATCTCAATCGTTTTCATCTTAAGTTTATTGCTACTATCAAGTTAATATACGGCGCTTGTTCTATATTGACTCGATAGTAAGTTTTATTAATGAACGCATCTCGTTATTAATAACTACCCTCGATGAACTGGATATACTCCTCGATTGAGTATTCGAGGGGAAGATAGTTAAAGATATAATCGGGATCGACGAACATTTCATTAAGTGGATAAAAGCAAAACCAAGTCCTCATCTCAATTAATTAAACTCATATAGGTTGTTTATCTTAGTGTTGTTAAATCAAACAAATCTAACCCCCCCCCCCCCCCCCCCCCCTTTGTTACTACTTATATAAAAGAAAAAGTATTCCTTTCCAAAAACGGTGAATTGTATTTTTATTGGATATGCACAAAATAGTAGTGCTTATCGGTTTTTAGTGTACGATTCGAATAATCCGGATGTACATAAAAACACAATAATTGAATCAAGGAATGCATCATTCTTTGAAGACGTATTTCCATGCAAGTCCAACGAATGACCAAGCACGTCAAAAAGAACATTTGACGTAGCTATGGAAAATACTAGCGAGGGGTCCGGAGAAGAACCCGAACCCAGACATAGCAAACGTGCTAGAGTTGAAAAATCCTTCGGACCGGATTTTCTCACCTACTTGGTAGAATTTGACTCGGATATTCTAACATGTATGGTAGAAAATGAACCGGATTTTCTAACATGTTTGGTAGAAAATGAACCACAGACTTATACGGAAGCCGTGACGTCTATTGAAGGTCCTATATGGAAAGAAGCCATCAAAAGTGAGGTGGATTCTATCCTACAAAATTACACATGGGAATTGGTTGATCTTCCTCCGGGAAATAAACCTTTGGGATCCAAGTGGATTTTTAAAAGGAAAATGAAACCTGACGGTTCCATCGATAAGTACAAGGCCAGACTTGTAATCAAGGGATACAAGCAACGTGAGGGTCATGATTACTTTGATAAGTATTCTCCTGTGACGAGAATAAATTCCATTAGGATGATACTAGCAATTTCCGCATTGCGAAAATTGGAAGTTCATCAAATGGATGTAAAAACCGCTTTTCTAAATGGCGATATAGACGAAGAAATCTATATGGAACAGCCCGAGGGTTTTCGTGTTCCGGGCCAAGAAAGGAAAGTGTGTAAATTAATGAAATTATTGTATGGATTAAAACAAGCCCCTAAACAGTGGCACGAAAGGTTCGATCATGCAATGTTAATTAATGGGTCTAAAATAAACGAAAATGACAAATGTGTCTATGTGAAGAGCACAGTAGACGGCTATGTCATTTTATGTTTATACGTGGATGATATACTCATCGTGGGTAGCAATAATCTAATGATTAATTCTACCAAAAGCATGTTAAATTCTAAATTTGACATGAAGGATATGGGGCTAGCCGATTTAATCCTTGGGATTAAAATAATTAGAGGACCTGACGGTCTTACGCTAAGCCAATCCCATTACGTTGATAAAATCCTTACGAAATTTAATAAGGATGATTATCAAGAGGCAAGAACTCCATTAAATAAAAACGCTCATCTTACCAAAAATCGTGGAGAGTGTATTTCTCAAGTAGAATACGTTAGGATTATTGGAAGCTTGATGTATCTAATGAGCTGTACCAGGCCTGATATTGCCTTTGTTGTTAGCAAGCTAAGTAGATATACTAGTAACCCCGGTGATGAACACTGGAAGGCAATATGGAAGATATCCAGATGTACTTGAAGGGTATAGCGACGCTAGTTGGATATCCGACATAAAGGACTCTAAGTCCACAAGTGGATATGTTTTCACTTTGGGAGGTGCAGCCGTGTCATGGAAATCCTCAAAACAAACGTTAATAGCTAGATCCACGATGGAGTCTGAGCTAATAGCCTTGGATAAGTGCACTGAAGAGGCTGAATGGCTACGCCATTTTCTCGAGGATATTCCAAGTTGGGAAAAGCATGTTCCTCCAATATGCATACATTGCTATTGTCAAGCGGCAATTGGAAGGGTACAGAGCAATATGTACAATGGTAAGTCTAGACACGTTCGTCGTAGACATAACACCATTAAACCACTCCTCACAACGGGTGTTATCACTGTTGACTACGTGAAGTCAAAGGATAACATAGCGGATCCGCTAACCAAGGCATTTGATAGAATTGTTGGAGAAGTTGTCACGAGGAATGGGACTAAAGCCCGTAAATTGAAAAGTTCTATAGTGGATATCCAACCTAGTTGGTCCTAGGTTCAAAAGGGACAACTAAATTATAGAGTGAAGGATGGTCACTGTGGGGGTCCCGGACTCCTACCCACTCCTCGTTAAAATAGTGACTCCCGCACGAGGTTAGCAAAAACGTTTGCTTTAATGATTCTAAAATGTTGATCTTCTCGATAACATTGGAAGAGTATGTGGGATACTCATGCAAGAATCACCTATGTGAGAGAGAAGAGGGCCGCTTCACAGGAGAACTGTATAGGCTCAGTTCTTTAGAAACTCTTAAAGAACCAGGACGGTGACCCATGGCCAAAACAGGCACACCCATGAGAACAGAACAAAGTTGAAGGTTCTTGTGTAAAGATAAGTCAATGTTTACACGACGGCAGTATAGTTCAAGGACATCTAGTCTACTAGACAGCCAGTGAATAAACATGTCTTTACAACGGAAGGTTCAAAGGATAAAACCTACCTCTCCGTATGCAAGGATCATCCGGTGAACACAACGTGTCCTCCTGCCTTCGTGTCTTTTTTAAGTCTCGAAAATCAATTTTCATTCATGTGGGGGATTGTTAGAAAATGTGTTAAGAAATTGCATTAAATGGTCATTTTGGGGAAATATTTTGAGTGGGGCCCACTTCCGATTTGAGTCGGGTCAAAGTGGTTTCGGATTGTCCTTGTTAAGGGCTACAATTCGATATGTGGTACGCTCAAAATGGATAACAGGTGAATGAGAAATTGATTCTCAAAGTTCTGCCCGTTGGAGCCGCCTGCTGCAAGGCAGCCACCTGCTGAGGCGCCTGCTGCAAGGCAGCCACCTGCTGAGGCGCTTGCTGCAAGGCAGCCACCTGCTCGCCTGCTGCCCTCAGCCACCTGCTGAGCCGCCTACTCGCTAGCAGCCTGTTGCTTCCGTTACGGAGATTAATGCCCAACGTCTCTTGCAATTAAATGAACAGTTACGAACGATTCAATGCCAACGTTTTGGACATTGATGTCCAACGGTAATGTCCATTAGAACGTCATTAACACACAACAAATCTTCCTCTATAAATCGGCTAGCAGGTGGTTTGCAACAACACACACAAACGATCACCTCGCACTCTTTAGCTCTCAAAAATACCTCTAGCTTTCTTGAAAAATTCCTTGGTGTTCATACTTGTTCTCGTTCGCCGGAACAATTTGTTTGAGTGCTCAAACTATTGTTCGTAGTCATCGTATCCTGGGAAACGATTGTTGCAATGCTCCTAGCACCCCGGGAGGCAACAAATACGTTTTAAGGACATCGTGCGTTGCACGAACTTTGGCTAATTCTGCTCCATCTACTTTCTGTTTTTTCTTTAGTCATTTTAATTAATTAATTAATTATATTAATTATATTTCTTTGTTCTTCAAAACACACCCGACAAGGTTTTCATACAAAATTTTCTGGAATAAACCGTCGAGGGAAATCCAAACTAGGGCTAAGGGTGAGTCCCGTTCAACAGAGAAGTCGGACATCCATCGGGTCACCACCATGTGGTACCCAAAGGAATCCCAACATTTTCTTTCCCAGAATTTTTTAAAATCAAAATCGAACTTGAAATTAATGAGAATAACGTTAGAGTGAAGCAATCCGACTGAATAGGGATGTGAGAACCGTAACTGTTCAAAAGCATTACGAATCGCATTCGCAGGTATGGGGGGTGACTGAACGGGAAAGTACCAACGAGAGCGAATCGGAAGGTATGGGAGAGAACCTGTAAGTCGTCGTTGGAGAAGGAGACAGACGGAAAGCCTCTGAAGCACCAGACAAGCCAAGCTCAACTGCGTCGGAAAAGGAACAAGTCTGCGAGTGTAATCGATGGCTGGGGATGGGATCCCTTACCATCGTAGCAAAAGACATCTTGACATGCGTCCTCGTCGGCCCGATTCCATCGCCGGCGGCATTTCTGCCGCACTGCCTTCAGGCGATCGTATGAATGAGAGAAGGGGGAGTGTAGGAGGAAGATGTACTCCTATGAATGAAATTTTTGGGTTTAGAAATTTTTTAAAAGCTAAAATTAAATAATACTTTGAGTACGTTTAAGTGTAGCTATTATGTGTTGATGTAATAATATGACCAGTGACGGATATACAAGTGTCATATACAAGTGTTTTTTTAGAGAAAAACACGAGTGATGGGGATGGGGTGCTTTGTTATTCATTGAAAGCGTACATATTGGAATTTATGGGTAGTCTAAGAAAAGGATGGTCGAAATAAAATTTGGTTGGACTGGGAAGTTATTTGTCTAGTTTTTCTTTTCTAAATCCAAAATGGCTACAATGGTCTGGAGGACAGTGAGAAGGAGGAGAAAAATGGCAGCGAGGAGGGAGATGAGAGTCCAAGGGGAGCTGAAGTATTTGTGGTTGACCTCGGCCAAATAAATGTGCAAATCGTTGTGGTAGTAGTTGTTCACACCAGCATACACTTCCCCCAAGTAGCTGCCGAAAAACCCTCGCTTCTTGGACTGCAAAGCCATGCCGAGCTTGCCCACAAAGGCGGCGACCTCACCTGCCTTCCCATAATTAATTCGCAAAACCTTGGCCTCGCACAGAATGTCCACGTCCTCTTGGGTGTGTATGAGGCAGTGCAGAAACTGTGCGTAGTCTGACATGTAACGGCCTGCATCTGGGTAGCATATCTCGAACGCCACGCAGTTCAGCAAGAAGTCGCACATCGTGTCGTTAAACCATAGCAGGGGCATCTTCGAGATGCTTTGGATGCCGTTCTTCTTCATTAGGCCCTCTTCAATAGTCCCACAATCCTTCACAGTGCTGGGGGTCCTCCACAAACATGACGATGTCCTTGTGGGTGCTAACACCAAGTGCAAGTTGGCCGGATGAAGAGAATAACCTTTCCGGAATAAATGGAGTAGATGTAGGATTTTGAAATCCGGCCCGAACAAGTCCTCGAGCTTCTCCGGGTCAAACTCGAAGAACTCGAGGGCGATGTTGGCCAAAGAATCGAGGCGAGCCAGGCGGGGCTTGGTATCGATGTCTGCATCACTGTCTGTTTCAGTAAGTGTGAACAATGTGTGGAGCACCGTGTATGGCATTTGGTTCTCGAGGCAGAAAAGGTCTTGATAGCAATTATCGTATATGAAATGCGCTATTGAACACAATGGAAGGTCCTCATTGAGAACCAAATCCCAGCTTCTTGGCTGGAGGATTACAAGCACAAAGCAGCCATCAAGAACCAACATCTCTACAAACTCATCGCTGCTGAGATTGATAACCTCCGAATACATATCTCTGGCCTCTTCTTCTAACCTTCTAACGGCTTTAACGTACTCCTCTAATCCCACACCTTTTTCCTCCGTCCTCTTTACGACTCTCTCCAAGAACCTCAACTTGTGCTCCTGCATCTCCTTCAGATGCGGCTTCCCGTGATGGTATGGACCGATTGAGAATGTGCGAGGCTGATACGGACGCGCGTCCGCTTCCGAATCGGTGCCCAACAATTCCGAGGGTGCCCGGAAAATGCGGCTGCCGCTGGCCCATTTGGGGAGTAATTTCGGACATCCGGACATCTTACTCTGCATCACTTGGGTGACTAGTATGTCTGGATCCACTTCTACATTGTTGCTTCTCATCAGCCCTTCACCCTCCTCATCCATGGAGTTTATCCCTTCCGGGTTTGATTCCATCAAACTATTTTTGAAATAATTGAAATGACAAAGCTTCTGCTTGAAATAATTGTTTCATAAATACTCAGCTCCGAAATGAAAAAGAAAGTGGGAACAATAATCATCCCATACACAGTATTGTACACTTCCTTAGCTGTTTCCACGTCAAGTGGCGGTACTTGTTTGTAACTTTGTGCTGGGAAGGCCTTGTGGTTTGATTGAATAGTGACTACTTCTCTATGCTCAATTATTTTCCAACAAATGCTTGATTTACCCAACTTATATGTACATAAGTTTATAACAAATGCAGTTAAAAGCGCAGTTATAATATAAAAAATTTATTTGAATGTCTTCTTGATTGAAATTTTAGTTAAAATTTGGTATTAGTAAATTATAATTAATAAATAAGATGCTCACCAAATTTCATCGAAAAATTCCATCGGGAACAACCTCAAATGACATCGGTATGAATAGTTAGTACTTCTCTATCTTCAATTATTTTCCAAAAGAGAAAATAATTAAAATACCCCAAACTTTGAAGGGGTGTGAGATAAACACCTCAAACTTACATATGTAATTTAAATACCCCAAACTTTATATAAAAAGTTATTCTAGCACCATAGTCATGAATAATTTCTTTCAAGCTTGATAAATTTACTTCCTCCGGTTCTTATTTAAGTTCTTAGTTTGACTTCACACATATTAAGAAAATGAATTTGACTTTACTGTGGAGTGCACTGTTTCGCACTGTTTGGACACTGTTTGACATTGTTTGGCACTGTTTTGCATTGTTTTGTTTCCTAAAATGGAAGTGTGAACTTAAATAAGGGACATCCCAAAAAGGAAAGTGAGAACTTTAATAAGAACCGGAGGGAGTACCATTCATAAAGATACAATTAACATTCTAAGCTTCCATTATAAAATAAATAGTATTACTCACCACTATATATAATTATAATCTTTTCAATTTTCTATTTTAAATTATGCATTTAACAACATAAATTTACATTTCTGAAAGAAATTACACATAATCATGGTGTTAAAATAATTTTTTATATAATGTTTGGGGTATTTAAATTACATATGAAAGTTCGTGGTGTTTATCTCACACCCCTTCAAAGTTTGGGGTATTTTAATTATTTTCCCTTTTTCCAAATTACCCACCCTTATATTCACGTTATATCCATCATGTTTGTGAAACTTTTTTTTGTCTGTGAACCTGATTCACAGACAATATTTTGTTTGTGCAAAATATTTTCTGTGATCGATACTTACAAACAAAAAAAAACTTTTACTGCACAAACATGGGTGGGTACAAAAGTGGGTATAAGAGTAGGTACAAACATCATTTTTGATTATTTTTAGATAGTATCATCCCTTCTTTTTTAGTTGCAACGTTCCATTTTTCACGTTTATCAATGCACAACTTTGACCATCATTATATTTAATTCTCTATTAGTAAAAAGAATTAAAAATCAAATTATGAAACTCTGTAATAAGACGAATTCAACAGTATTTTTGAAAAACATAATTCACATACATTAATAAATAAAATGTAGTCATAGTAGTATACATGAATATTTTGTGAAAATTTCAATGTTGCAACTAATATGATATGGAGGGAGTACATTCTAGGGTACCTTGAGGTACCATACTTTTGTGGTATCTTCGTCCCTTGAAACTTTGTCATGTTTGACCAGCACGAAAAATTATAAAGTAAAAATTGTGTGGTTGAAATTTGTGCAGAGGAGAGAGAAATAATAGGAACCACAAAATAATTGATTTAAAGAAAAAGTGATAAAGTTTTTGGGACGGATGGAGTAATGGTTTAAATCAATCAAGTGAATAGGAGGTACGATACCCCATATTTTAAATGAGTATCGGAGTTATCACCCTATTTTCATTTGTTGTTAACCTTAAACACGAATACAATTATGGAAAAAGGGTCACCCTTATACAATTACAGATCGGTCCACGTAATATTAAAAAGTGGTAATTACCCGTTTGATCTACCTTTGACAACTCTATTTCATTTATAGCCCAAGACATTATTCTTTTCATCATTAAACTTTTCACTTTTCACTTTTATGTTTTCTATTTCAAAAGTAGCTTCTTACGGTTACGGAGCACATAAACCTACCACCATAAACCATTCCAGCTTAATAATTTTCATTACCCTCCAAAGTTCCACCACCGAACACAACACTTTACCCATCTTTTCCGTAGAAGGATCCGATCGATAAGAGATACAACTCAAAGACGAAATCTCTGGCCTCATGCTCACTCAAACGTAGAGACTCGTTAAATTCGTACATGACAAGGTTGGAGTATTTGCTAACGTGATGGCTCTGGAGGATGTAATTGCTGCTTCGGCAGCTGTAATTGCTGCTCCGGCAGCTGTAATTGCTGCTCCGCAACTGCCATTGCTGCCCCAGGAGCTGAAATTGGGAGGTCCGGCGCTATTGATTCTTCCCATGTCGGTTTGGTGATCAATGGCGTGCCTAGCGATTCGAGACTATCGACGATTGAAGCTGTAAGGTCATTGGCGAATCATTATCTGAAGTCAAATTGTATCAATGTTTATTCAAGTCGATTTCTTAATTATTCCTAAGGTATGAAGATCTCCTATGACGCTACTCATCAAACTACCAGATTTGAAGTCTTATATAAAAATTCTCCACTCACATTGGTTGTGGATAAGATTAGTGCAAAACATAATTTGTATAACATATTTGATGTAATTCAAGAGAGTGTAGATATCAAATTCGTATTTATAGAAATTGAGATAGATTATATTCAAATATTTGATGCTCAAATGCTTTATGGAAAGTACTTGCACACAAATTTTACCAGTTAGAGTTGTATAGAGAATTCTGATTAGAGGGAAACTATATTCTTCCATGTATTTGTTCATGAGTTAGTTATAACAGCTTAAATACTTTATGCCCTTATGAAATACAAAAATATGTATATTATTTGTGGGTTTCAATTTCTTGTTTATTGTTGCTTCCTTATGTTTTCCATTTTAGTTGCTTGATGTGTTAACTTTATCAAATCAGTTTCTGTTTATAGCATTTCACTCTTCTCAGTCAATAGAGTATAGAGAATGCATGCTCACTTTTTTTATCATTCTTGTTGATGATTCTGAGATTTTTATTTACATGAAGTTGAAGATATCTTTGATCTTTTCAGGTTTACCTGGCGTGTTTTGGGCATTACAGAAACAGTTCATTACATTTTCTATGTATAAGCGCTCTGCATAAGGTATTTAGGTAAATAAATGCGACAAAAATTCGTTAGTTGCACTTGAGGAAATGGGTTTAGAATTCTTGTGAATTATTATTGTGAATTATTAATGAGATAATATTTAACAATAATATTAGTTAAATGTAAATTAATTAACTAAGTTAAAACATTGAGGAAATGGGTTTAGAATTTGAGTTGATAATATTAGTTAGATTTAAATATTAGTTAATTGAAATGGGTTTATAACCAATGATGATGATTAGGTTTAATTTGTTTATTAGCAATAATTATTGTTAATGCATAATTTAGGATTTGTAGTGATTTAAGTTAGGATTCAAACTTTATTAGTTAAGTGTGAATTATATATTATTGTGAATTAATGATATTTAACAATATTAGTTAAATGGAAATTAACTAATTAATAAGTTAAATTAGTTAACTTTAGTATTGTGAATAAATGCCATTAACGTAATAACTTTAATTAGTATTATATGTTAGTTAATTGTTTAATGTGTACTATTAGATTTTTATAATTTTAGTATTGTGAATAAATGCCATTAACGTAATAATTTAGTGTGTTTGGTGCACAAATTCTAATATTGTGAATTAGTTAATAACTAAAACGATTAATGCCATTAACATATTACTATTAGTTAATTAGTAATTTTAATTGAACTTTAGTTAATTTTAGTGAACTTTATATTAGTAAATTATTAATTCTCGTCAGCTTAATGTTTCTAAATATGAATTAGTCATGATTGAAAAGTTGGTTAATTCAAATTATTAATGCCACAAATAATGTACTGCTTTTAGTTAATTAATAATATTAATTGAACGTTACTTAATGTACTTATATAATATTTTGATTATAATATATATACAAGCATAATGTATAGACAAAACAGAAGTTGGATGTACCAAAAACATCGCGATAACTATGGAATACGCAGTGAATTTTTTAATGGTGTTGAAGATTTTATTAAATTTGCACAAGAACAGAAGAATTATATGGATGGCGATAAAATCATATGTCCATGTACAAAGTGTAAAAATCTTCAATTTAAAGATGTCGACCAAGTTGTGTGGGATTTGTACGAAAAAGATTTCGTTGCCAATTATTATAATTGGACTTCTCATGGCGAACCTTTCGATCTATCACTTTTACCACAAACAGTAGGTTCATCTCGTAACGTCCCTACCGAGATGAGTGGATGGGGAGACTATGATCAAATGACGTGGGATCAAAGAATGGCATATGATGTATACGGTGCTTCAACGATTCAGTTTAACCCACCACAGCCATTTAACGATCTTCCCGAAGCTTCGACCTCGTATCAACCCGATGCGGATGAAGATCCGACCTTTTATCAGCCTTATGCGGATGAGTATCCGAATTCTCATGTTCCTCATATTGAAGACTTAGCTGAAAGATTTCAAGATGTTTTAAAAGCTGCCGATCAGCCTCTGTATGCTGATTGTGAGGGATACTCTCAGCTATCCGCCGTTACAGAGTTGATGAATATTAAATCTGAATACAGTCTCCCTGAATCTTGCATGTCTAGGTTATTGCAGTCATTTAAAGGAATGTTACCGCGTGACCATAATCTTCGTGATTCATATTACAAAATGAAACAATTAATGTCTCAGTTGGGGCTTCCTTGTATAGAAATTGATGCGTGCCCAGAAGGATGTATGTTGTTCTGGAAGGATGATGTGACACTTGAGAGCTGCAAGTTCTGTGGTGGAGAGAGATACAAGCCTGTTCCTCATAGACGAAAAAAACCACGAAAAAGGTCTGCATTGTCTAAATTGTTTTACCTCCCTCTAGCTCCACGCCTGAAGAGGATGTAT